GAAGTTCCTATTAGCCCTCAATGCACTGGCATTGCTATGCCCCCAGCAGATGCCCCAGGGAAGCCAAAGAATGAGGACCTAGGAGGTAGAGAGGAAGCAAGGAGCCCCAAAACATCTCTACTTATCTTGGGGACCATTTCTGTACAGTTTGAGACCTCTTTCTATTGCTAGGATTTAAATGCAAAGCAAGCGGAACTCTCAGGAAAGACTCAATGCACCTAATTTCTTAATCTCTTTTTATTTCCATATGAACAGAAGATTTCAATTAGACAAAAGGTGTAAGGCCTCCACCCATCATTAAGGCAGTTGTAGAAGAACAAATTAACTAATGGTATGATATGATACAAACTGGCAACAAAGAATAAACATAAAACCTGAAAAATACTAAAAAAGTCTTTGTTTTGTGCCAACAAGCAACTGAGCCTCTAAAAGAAAATAACTATTCTGGTGCAAATAAACAGTGATTAAATGTGTATATACCCACACACACACCAAACAATCTGACATTCAGCTCTACATCCTACAGTCCCAAAACACCACACTACTTAGTTTTATGGAGAAATTTGCTTCTCAATCTCAACATATATATATGAGACTAATTCTGAGCAAAGGTCAGACAATTTGATCAACAGCGAATCTCTGCAAATATACAGTCTTCCAAATCTGAAAGCCTGCTAAAACTGTGAAGTCAGATAGCACACCTACACAGAACACCATGCAGTCCACCATGCAGGGAGATCTGATTTGGCTTGAAATCAGGATAGTGTGGATAGAGTAGTGGTACAGCACAGAGCTCAGTTCTAGACCTACAGGACAAATAAACATTTCGCTGTTGATAAGAACTTGCAGTATTGCCGCAAGTATACAAGCTACCTTGTTTGCAGCTGGCTCAGCTGCACCTATGCTACCCTGCAGCGTACTATAGTGTATCTTCAGTTAGGCAAGATACAGAGGGCAGCAAAGAAGAGAAGCCAGTGTAAGGGTGGGACAGTAACAAAGAGGAGCATTGTGCCTAGCACTCTGGATCCAGCCAGTGAAGCTCTTAAGCACATTCTTATTTCAAGCAATGGTAAAAGCACTGAAATCAAGTTGCTATAACAAGAAAACTACTGTTAGCTGTATGTGCAGAAACAAAACAAGACAAAGTTAAATACAGCAAACATGAAGAAATGAAGGGCAAAAATTTTGTATCTGAAGTGGTGGAAAACTAAATCAACACCCAAATTCAAGGACTTTCGAAGTACTTGGAGGAACAGAATCTACTCCAGCTCTCCAGTCTTGAAATAAGACCAAATTTGTGGGACTTGATTCTCTTAAAAACACAAAACAAGTAGTAATTTGCTGGAGTTCCTCCTTCAGCCCATGAAAAGGCTAAAGCCCAACAACAGGAGTTTAGTCCTGTCAATTTTGATACTTTGAAGGGAGGAAAGAAGTCAAAATCACACAGAGGTTAAAACAGTGAAGATAAAAGATAAGAAAGAAGACAGATAGTGAAGAGTGCTGGAATCTGATACTACTAACTTTGAGACATTTGATACACAGGCATGGGAGCAGGGTCAGAGATAGAAAGGTTGTGGCCCTGGAAAATTCACAGGTAAAATTGTCAGGGATGTTAGAAAATAGTCTAGGGGGAGCTAGGAATAAAAATTAGATCTTTGAATCTGAACAGGTCTGAGACTGTGGCTGGATACTCAAGAAATCACCTGGAGGGAGAACTATGGAAGAACCAAACTGGGAAAGGAAGCACTGGATTTTTGGGGCATTCAAATTTAAGTGTAAAGCCAAAAACTTGAAAATAAACTGGAGTGAGGATGTTCAGGTACATGAAATTAGGGGATGACAAATGGAGAATAAAGGGCAAAGTATTAAAAAAGAGAACGAGTTAGGATGTTGGGTACAATCCCCTTCAAGACAGAGGAAAGAGAAACTTGGTTGTTAGTGAAGGAAATGAGAGGAGGATTTAAAGAGGAAAAAGTCATTCAATTAAAGGAATGAGAGAGGTATAAAAGATACAGAAATAAGAGGGGCAAACTTGTATAGTTAAGAGGCAGAGATGCCCAGTTCCAAAACAGATTCTAAAAAAGAACAATTTTTGAAAAGGATCTTGTAATGCAAAAATCCAGATTGGTTTTGAAGATACATTTTGTATCAAGAATGAATGGAGAATTAAATGAACAGCAAATCTGCAAGCAAGCTCAACAAGCAAAAAGATGTGGGATAAAAGTGGTTAAAAAGTCCATTTGGAAAGAGAATTACAACCGGCAAGGCAAAGCTGAGTCCAAAGCTGTGCTGTGCTGACATACTCTTCGGAGATATTCGGAAAGGCAGGAATGGAGATTAAGAAATTACAAGAAAAAATGTCTGGGGAGAGGAATGGAGACAGGGCAATGTGAGAAGCAACCAAAGAAACCATGTATATAGAAGCAGATAGAGATGAAAATAAAGACCAGTGAGTCAAAGGAAGTGAGGCCAATGAAGGAAGGAGGCAGCTGAGAAGAGTAAAGGAGTCAGAAAGGTTAATAGACTGGAGATCCCAAAAGGAGTGAGTGACACGGTAGAGGAGAGGGAAAGACAGATAAGCTGAAAGAGAGCAGGTAGTGATCAGAGAAATGGAATTTAGAAATGAGAGATAATAAAGTGAACAGTATTTAGTAAAGACAAGGTCATGGGAATGATTGAGGCAGTGAGAAAAATCTGTCTAAAACTAGAAATGAAAGGCATTGGGCTGGAAAAACAGAATGAAGAACAATGGAGCTAAGTAGTTACCAGGGGAAAAGAAAAAAAATAGGGCTTGCCCATGGTGAGGGATAAAATTTGAGAAGACAGAAATGGGTTGCGTTTAGCAAAGTCACAAAGAAGCAAACTAACGGCCACTAGGAAAACTAGACACAAAGGATTTCAAATCAGGAAGAGGGTAGAGCAGACAACAGGACAGATGAAGCAGAAACAGTGGAAGACAGGAATCATAGGATTTCAGAAGTGAATATGAAAGTGAAACAATTTTTAAAAAGCATCAACTGAAGAACAAGGTTCAGGGAAGGGAGTAAAGTTTGAAAAAGAACCTTAAAAATCTATATTTGAGTCATGTTCAGAAACATTAGTAACACCCCACTGGGCATGCCCAGCACCTGTCTTTCCCTCCTTGGGTGATCTTGGCAGAAAGGTTAGTTATTCACCCAGACCAAACCAGAGATCAGAAATTCAGAAGACCAGCACTGCCACTGGCTAGATGATGTGGGGATGTGGCAGGGTTGGAAAAAACTTTTGACTGTTAAGGAAATCTAAAAATGATGGAAAAGCAGTGATTTGAACTCTGCTATCCAGCACCTTTACTTCCAGATTAAATTAGCTCTCCGCAAAGCAAGACCTGAAGGCCTTCGTTGACTCTCCCTCACATCAACCTCCTGTTCCTAGAAGCTCAAATACCTGATGCAGCATTTGCCACCAGCATTCAAATTCAGCCATTAAGATTCTCATCTCGTTGTATAACAGAGAAGACAGAGATTAAGTGGACAGATTGCTGAAAACAAACATCACTGCAATTTTGGGTCCCATTCAGAGATATCTGAGAACCACTGGCATAAGAAGTCCTTCTCCATTTCCAAGCCTCTGTCAAGAATTTCACTCTATAGCTTTCTTAATCATGAGCATGAATAAAACACCAGCCTTCTCAGACACTTCTAATACTGTATTTCATCTTCTGGTATATTGGCATGTTTTTAAAGTTTCTGCTCATTACAAAAAGATGACATACTTCTATTGCCTGCTCATACATTTGGTAGCTGGATCATTAGAGTGCAACAAAAGAGGGAGAAGAAACACAATATTCCCTGCTACCAAACCAGTGACATACAGAAAGTGTAAAAAGTGAGCTGAGCATGTCATTTCTGTATACCCTACTGATTACTATTTATTCATGTGTGTATACGAGGTTCACTCAAAATTACTGAAATTACATAAAAACCAGCCTACCTATAAACAAGAGCTCACAGGACTGGGACCATAATGGCAGCTCTTCATTATTTTTAAGCTTTTCAAGTATTTTCGTATGGTTTGAAAATAATTTTAATTTGTTTTTAAATTTTAGATAAAAACAGTCTTTTGAGTTAATTGTGAATATATCTGATGTAGTGTTTTTAGAAAAATTTTTGACAAATAATTATCACCAAAAGATTACAAAAAAGATTTTTTGAATGTACTGTCTTTTGTTACAGTCAAGAAAACTCACCCATAATCAGCTACTGGAAGCAGTAAAATGTCCACAAACTAGGTAGCATCTACTGTAACATATACATACATCTGTAACAAGAAAAGTTTGAAAAAATATCATAGGAACACTATCATTTCTACATTATATTTAGTATCTGTATGTTTTATTTCTATTAGACTACTGCACAGCAGAGGAGCTTTCAAGACAAGATAAAGATTTTATGCAATGTCATTCAAAGCACAAAGTTCACTCATGAAGCAAGTTAATACTGTAGCACTGAAATAAAAGGAGGAGCTAGTCAGACATTTTGGTTAGAAATGTAATATGTTCTCTTTAAAGAAAATAAACACATAATGCCATAGCTTAAAATAAATAGTGCCAAATGTCAGCATCAACAACATATGAAAAGTAGAATGGTGTTTTATAAAAGAAAGTATTTTATCAGCATATAGCACACATGGGAGTGTTATAACAGACTTATCATTTTCATATGTTACCAGGTGCTTTACTTAGGGAATAGATTCTACAATCCCCAGTTACATAAGCAGTTCTATTAACCCATATAGGCTTCTTAATTATAGAGTTTGGTACCAGAGTCAGCTGTACCATTCATTTTACAGATTTTAAAATAGGAACAACTATTTCTTTTCCTTAGCACAAGATTTAATCATAAATATTAAAAAAAAAAAAAAAAATTAAATGCTTAAGTATGCACATTTGCTAACTCTTAACTCATGATCTCTTTACTCAATGTATCCTTCCAGACAGGAGGGGGAAAAAAAAAAATGTTACTAGTTTCTTTCAGGAAAAGTTCAATACTTGATGTATAATATCAGATGCAAATAAGACTGACTGTGCTGGGGTTTTTTTCAGTGTTTTTTAAATGTTCTAGTATATTTCAGAAAAAAAATGGTTTAAGTACTTGTGCCTATTAAGAGCTAATCCTGGCAGTCAAGCAAGTATTGCGCTGCCTTTTCCAATACAAACCATTTCATTCTATGACATATGAACATATTGTTATAGAACATAACCATCATTTTTAAAATTCAGTAATCAAATAAATGAAAACAAATCTAGAGGTTGCTAGACACAAACCAAGGTTTCACAAATACTTCCTCCCTACACATGGTTCCACCAAAGTCCTACAAGATTAAGTATACACAGAAGCTAGAAGGAAAACTAAGGATTCATCCTACAAAATTTGGAAACAAAAATAAAACAAAAATGTATTAAGATAAGCTGATGATCTGGCACATACTATTTAAAAAGTCCTGTATTTTGCCAAACCGATTTCCATAGTATTTGTCATTTTAAAAAATACAAAATAAGAAAAAAACGTGACCTAGCTTGAACATTTCATCCACAAACCCCACAGCTGAATTTTTATTCGTCGAGCATTATATCAAATCAAAAATTAAAGCTGCACAGAGAAACAAACAAAAAAATCTGAGCGTGCAGGGAACTGACTGCATCTAGAACTTCTATGTGTATGTACATACCACTGCTTTTATTTGAACTAACTTCTTTTTACCCACGTAAGGAAAAAGATTTAACTGACTCTAACAGCTTCTTCGAAATATCACTGGTAATAATTATGTTTTGACAGTTCTCTACAAAAAGTTCAGTCTTGAAACTCAAGAATTTCAGTCGATTCTCCATTTTTACCACATTTAAAACCAAGTCACCTTCCTTCCTTAACAATAAAAATATTATCTAAGCATACCCAAAAAGGTACTATGGTCTAACAAGAATATTCTGAATTTCCTTTTCAACTAATAAAGTATTTGTAAGACATTTTGCATATATATTTATTTCCCAAATGAAGGAGTGGCAAGTTTCTTAAACATAAAAGCTAATATTTACTTTTGCTAAATATAAAACTAATTCTCAGGACACAGTATACAAATCCAGATATTCACGAAGAACACATTTTGTGTTATACTACACTACTATATCTTTTCCCAAAGGTTTCTGTATTAAAAAAAAAAAGATTAAAATATACTGTAAGGTCATTCAAATTATTTTAAACACAAAAATCTACAAATGGTGACATATACATAAACAGTTGGGAAGTTGTAACTTAAATACTGCATCTTTTAATCTGACCTTCTCACAAACGCTAGCCTCAAAAGAACCCTATTTGCTACAAGAAGCATCTGCATGGTTTTAAGACTTAACTATGCAGACTCTACTGCCCCAGGGCAGTGCTGCACAATGCTGTTGAAAACGATCAGATTGCAGAACCAACACCTTAGATTTTCCCAGAAAACCTCCAACAAATGTTTTATGTGCATTATGACAGAATAGCAAAAGAGAAAGGGATGTTACAAAAATTTCAGCATGACAATTTTTCCTGAAACTATTTTCCCATCACATTTGGCAAGCAGAGAACTAATCTTATCGCCTGTCTACTGTTACACGGAGAACTGCAAACTACAATTCAATATAAAATACAATAACCTTCTATAATAATTATGTTCCTCTTAGAACAAAGATTAAAATAAAGTTAACTGTGTTGATTCATACTTTCCATAAATTACTAAAAAGGTGAGAGATTCAGACATTTTGCTTCTGGATAATAAGCCTAATATCTGTATCATGTGCAAAAGTGCAACTGTGTTTTAGAATTGAGGCCCAACTGAATACAATTTTGTTATTAAAGTAAATATACTTGAACCCACTTAACATGGAAAACAGTGGTTCTCGGTATCTTTTAAAGTTACGCTTTACATATTTAAACCTATTGTACAACTGCAAGTTAGTAAAAAATACAAAAAATAGAAATAAACAGAAAACAACAAAGCTTGTATATAAATTGGTTTACAATTCAAAGCACAACAGCAGGCTTCAAATAATTACATTTCTATAACACACACAGAGGTGGGATGATTTATTTAAAATACTTGGTTATTTCTGCTCTTTTCTTCACGATCTGATGTCTGTTTAGCTGCTTGCAGTGTGTGCATGCATACGTTTCGCTACATCATAGACATAGGTTATGTCTGGTCGCTTCTCTGGATCCGGGTTGATGCACATATTAACTAATTGTCGCAGCTAGGAAAGGAAAATAACATGACAGGATCATTGGCCTTCTTACAAGTAGTATTTGTGCATTAACAAATTCAAATTAATAGGACTGGCAAAAATTAGCCAAACAGCAATTCTGCTTAAACACACTCAACCCTCCCTCCCTCTCAACACACACTGCACACAGTTTTATACAAGCAAGTATGCAAAATACTCCCATGATTTTTACATTTTGTACTGTTGTCCAGAAAAACTGAGAGCAGATTTAAGTTCAAATGCTTTTAACATACAACTTTAAACATGCATTCAATCCCATTACACATTATTTAAATTAAAATTCCTGTGCTTTTGGAGGGCTATGCCTGCAAACCCCAGAAGGCTGAAACTAGCATGGAAAGAAGGTAAATTGGGACTGCTTGCTCTTTCACTTCTGATACAAGAGTTAGCCAGCAATAAAGAGCATTGCTGCGTGACAGGTTCCAATGAGCAAAAGGCAGCAATTCTCCTTATAACACACAGTTAACATGCAGAACTTCCTGCTGCTAGAAGCTACCAATATACATGCCTTCAGAAAGCAATTGAACAAATTAAACCCACTGAGGGCTATTTAATATAAAGACTCCACCTTTGACTGGGAAAGTATTTCGGGGAAGTATCACATTATGTTGGCCCTGTTACTCCACTTGCCCACTGTTGGAGACATGATACTGGAATAAATAACCTTTGGTCTATGTCCCAGTATCTATTCTTAGGATTAGAACATTGATTTTTTTCTTTATGGAAAGAAGCACATAATTAACAAATATGTTCACAGAAGCCTCCACCTGGGAATAAACAAATCACTATGACTAGAAAAACTCATGTTTCCACAAACACCATAATTTATTATATTTATTCAGCAGAAGTAACCCCAAAGAGCTTCCACACCATTTGGATACTTCTCTTTGCCTTCACAAACTGGCAGAACAGTTGCAGGTTTTTCTTCCTCCCTTGATATGCCTATGAACTTATGACAATAGAAATTAATATATTGTCTGGATAACATTTCAATGGGGCATCTGTTTTAAATTGTTTGCATCTCCTAAGCGTTTTTCAACATGGAATACACCTGCTTCATGATGACTTATTAAAATGTTTACCATCCTTTGCAAAAGCAACTTAACAACTCTGAAGCTCTTCCTTTATGCTTTTTAGTAGCTTTGTCAAATCCTTCTGGATCTCCCTATAGCACTGGGCGGGGGATGGGACACCAAAACAACAAACAAAAAAAACACCTTGCGAACCACCCTTCTATGGCAATATGTCAAATTTGGTTCAGTCTCCCTCCCAGTACTATTAGCTATGATTATTGAAAAAAATCTGTAATTATTGCAACTAACACAGTGACCTCATCACCATGATTATTCAAAATTAACATAGATTGCATATTCAAATCTGTCTTCAGAGAGTTTTTATAAAAAGACCAAGAAGGATTTTAAATTATAATTATACTCCTTTCACTTTTCAGAAGATTAATTTAAATGCACAGGAATAGGAAGTCCAGAAGTAAGAAACATTGCATACCACTATTTAAAACTTTGTCCATTAGCCCTTGCAGAAACATTGTGAACTGTATACAATGTACAGGTTTTTCATATTTAACAATAGACATCCCCTTTCTTTAGCAAGAAGAGCTTAATATTTAAAAATGAGATCATTAATTCTGAAGACAGTGGTCAGATTGCTGGATTGAAGAGAAACATATTAAAAAAATCTCTAACAGACTTGCTGTTTTAATCTTAAATATGCTATTTTGACTAATGCAGTTATAAAAGCCATCATGTTGCTTCCAGCAGCCAATAAATAAAATACAATACCACTGACAGGAAAAATTATTAGCCTGTAGTAACTTCCAAACATTTGGAGAATAGAATGCTGGAAATCACGAACTACCATAAGAAATAATAATTGCCAACATGTAACACAAATATGCAAAGCAAAACAATCTCCTGTAGAAGAAACAGGTGGGACACAGTGTAAGCAATAGGCATAACGTATTAGCAGAGATGAGCAGCTTGCTATGCAACACCTCAGACAGCCTGCATGGAAAACAGGAAAGACTGAGGAACTTCCAAAAGCCTCAAGCCTGAAATTAGGCTCAAATAAGTAAACATTTTGTAAAGAGAATACAAGCGTAATTTATCTGCAGGATACGACATCAAATCTTGTACATACATGTAAAAGTACATGTAAGGCTTTAGGTCCTATTAATCCCTGTAAGTACACTTGCAAAAACCATTCATCCACATGGTGTCTTGACTGGTGGCTTTTAGCAGCTTCTTATTTTTTACTCTAACCAAAATGCCTATGTAGCTACTATTGTTAGCATGTAAGAAAGCATCTACAAGAATACGTTCATGCTAAGGAACAGTCACTGAATCAGTTTACTCAGAAATTCTCTTCCCAACATAGTGCAAGTGGTGAGCTCAACTAGTGACATACCTTCACTACTACTGTAATAAAATAAACCACAGAGTCATAGACCTCTTTTGGATATGACTCTTAACATTTAAATGTTGGTCACTGCTATTACTGCAAAACCTCCTTCCCCCTCCCCAGTCCAGAATCTCAGTTGTAAGGCAGGAACACTGAGCTGACTATGCTTGGGACACTGCACAATGATAGTGCAGATTCCTGAGTAATTTCAAAATCCTTGAGCTCTTTTTAGCTTTGTTATTGAACAGCAAACCTTTGGGAGAAGGTGAATGAATTTTGCTATACAGGATGAAGACAGTTACCCAGGAAGGCTGGAAGGCAGTCTTTCAGGACTGAAACTAGGACCATGCTGGATGCTAATACCTGGTTAGAGCACTATTCCTTTAACTCCTACAGAAATATCCATTACAATAAACCTGAAATCCATTTGTCAACCCCTCTAGTATTAATAAAATTTCCAGTGTGGCAGAAGAGCCCAACAGTACCATGGGAAGAGGCACTGAGATTCTAAAGTCAGACTACTGTTAGAGACAGAGTAATTTTTTATTATCTGGCGCAGACTGGCCAACAGGCAGAGTAGATTTACGACTGAGCTGGAGGGACCTCCTGTTGCATCCCCAAGCTGCAAACTTCTCTGGCTGCTTATTGTTCTTAACGTCCTCTGTGCACTTAGCACAATGACTGTCTTTAGCCTGGAGCTTAGCCTGACATCGGAGCAGTGGGACACACTTTCATTAACTTTAGCAGGTTTTTCAGCTATGAAATAAATAATTATCACTCAAGTCAGGAGGGGGGGAAAAGACAGGCATATGACAGGCAAGTACGTTGCATTGATAGCCAGCTGAAAAAGAGAAATTTTCATATAGGAAATTTTGGATGAGAAAAAAACCTACAAACCTATTCTTAGTCTGAATAGGAGACCTTCTTGAAGCCCTTTCTCAGTGTTACTCTCAAGACCTTCTGCTGGCAACTAACACCGCCATTGTGGACCTGCTGGCTCATTCAGCCTTCACATCTGGGTAGGACATTGGCTATGGACTCTAGAAGTGCACCTCAATCGAAGGGAAGATTTTAAAACTTCATCTATCATGAAAGCAACATGATACTAATACTAGCTGACAAGATTTTAGGAGTATTGGGGGTGGCAAGGGAGTCCCAGCTTTGAATTCCCTGAAGCAGAACAGCTTTCAGTAAATGCTGAGTACTCACCCTGAATACCAGATGTTCTTGAGGAATATTCAAAAAATTGAGATATCCAAAGTTGTTAAACATCTGAAAATCTTGGCTTGTGACTCTACTGCTGAAGCAATAGTTTGTGAAAATGCATCTTAGACTACCACTATTTCTAATCAAAGGGTTTAAAAAAAGTTATCCATCTGTCCATCTATCTTAGGTAGATCTTTCTATCACTCTATTCTCCGATGACACAGGTGCGATACATTACTAACAGGTTGGTCCTATAAAGAGTTCAAAATTTAGAAGAAGAGTCACATCTTAAAAGTCATTAAAATTTACTATAAAGAGCTTCTCTAAAAGCACTTGTATTTCATAATGAAGGTATTTACACTCCTATATTGGAGGATGCAGAGATAACACAGTGAAATTTTTCTTTCAGAAAGTTCTTTGTTATAAAATATGAAGTGGGTTTTACTGTTCAGTGAACCCTGACCTTTATTGCTCACTGAGAGTGCTTCCAACCTGGTTAAAAGTTTGATACCTAAATTTCCAGTACAGGTGAAACATTTAGGACAGTATCCCAATATGACAGATAACACTTGTTTGTTTCTGGTTTTTTACAGTTCATGACAGCACAGTATTTTTTCATACAAGTAAAAAAAGGTCTATTTTGCTGCAATAACTGATTAACATATCTATTTTTCCATGTACCTTAGTGAAGACACAAGTCTTCATATCAGAACATAAAAAATGTTCCCATTACAGTCTCCACAGTTGATTACTTCTAAGTAACTGTTTTTACGCCTATCTTGATACCTATCATAGCTCTGAATCTCTCACGTTTTAAAATAACTTATGTGTATTTTGCAAATAACTGGTTCATCCAAGGTGCAGATATACGTGTCTGCTTTGAAATAAAGAAAGCATAACATGTTGTGCTTTGCATGTTTTCAATGCTAGAAACTATACAGATGTAAGTAAAAGGTGGAATCTCTTTCCCCATCCAAACTCTTAGACCTTCTATCTGGGCCAGACTTTGATATTTGCCCCTTGGCTGGGAATCCGCTTATCCAACTTCACTCTTAGCTGCAGTGAAGTAGCCCTGCAGGCAGGCCAACTTCAACGAACCACTAGTGGTATCATCATTAAAATCCTGCTGAAGGTCACCATGGAAACCGCCTGCTGAGGCTTCGCTGCTGCACTCGGCATCTCCTAATCAGCTACCATGTGAAATGCAAATTCAGACAGTCTGAAAATTAGTCAAGAAGAATAGAGGATGAGGATGCAGATATGTGAAATATTCATGTGCTTCATGGAAAAAGGAAGACAGCATGAATGACACAACAAAGAACGGCCCCTGACATTCTTGCTATCATTTTGCATTATTGTTCACACCCTACTGTATTTCTAGGCCTCCAGTTCTGAAGTTGGTTATATGAACTGCCATATAGTCTACAATAAATAATAATTAAAAATGGCCACAGTAAAATGACTAATTGCAAACCCCACAAAAAGGTGTAGTGTATAAATTACACAATAGATCATTATTTCATCCTTTGTAATGTCACTGATTATCCTTTTAAGTCCAGTTTGTTTTATAAGAGGGGAAAAATTGTCACTATAAATACAAAACAAAACAAAATACTGGGCAGTAATCTTTTATTAATAGTCCAGTAACTGTCTTTGAATGTAAAAAAATTTAAGGTTCAGAATTACAACCCCTATGCTATAAATAAAATTGCACAACGCTTTATGTTTATTAAAATTATTTCAGTGCTCATGTTTATTTGCGTTTTCAAAGTATCTTTAATTCATGTAGGCTGAATTCAATTAGAATTGGTTACTAATATGTGTTCTTTGGTTTACAGCTTCGATCAGTTTGTCCTGTTCTTTTCAAAGTGGGAAAGTATTGCAAAACTGGCATCTCAGAACATTAACAAGCAAGCATTTATATTCTTTCATTCTGTTACTCACACTAAGAAAAATACTTATTTTAGTTAGTTTCTTCTCATTTTAGAGCTTAAAAAAGCAAGTACTCCCCCTTAAATGCATTAATGACAGTACTGTTACCTATCAGCTTAAAACAAATACTGCTGCGATATGCATGAGTATATTGTTCAAATTCAATTATATTATGTCTGCCTATATTTCTCTGAAATTTACTATTAGTGTTGTCAAGAACCACCCTTTCGTGCAAAGAACTGCCACTCAATTGTATCAAACAGCACATTGCAGTTTTATAATGCAGACAAATGGGAACTAAACAATTCATTTTTACTAGAGAGTTACATTGTATCTATTTTAATGCAAGCCCCTAGAGAAACAAGGCTAGTGCACTAATTTACTGTGCAACATAAACTTGTATAGTTGTGCTTTTAGAAAAGCATACTATAGATGTAAGGCTCAATCCCATTCTGGCATGTGGAACATATCATTGTCCATTCTGGGAAAGCATTTTGTCATACTTGCAAGGAAGCTCAATGAAATTAAGAAGCTAACAGTATGAGGTTTCCATCATTAATCCCCCCAAACTTAAAATCGTATCAGAGACTTGTTTTGACAAGAACACTTGAGCAAGTTCAACAAGCAAACACTTACGGGCATAATCTGCAAATAACATAAAATTGCACAAGTTCATTTACTTCCCTGGAAGTGTGCCAGCTTACATAAACTGAGGATCTAGCCCATAAAAAGGAAAATTACTTACTTCCTCTGAATAGTGATCTGAAGGGAGAGGTGGGTAGTCACACTGTTCTATCTTCTTGCACAGGGAGTACAAATTCATTTTATCACCGTAAAAGGGACTCTGCAGTGCAGCCATCTGTTTAAAGAGAATGTACAGTTTTCTTCTGTGTTTTTAAGTAAACCTGTTTTGTCATAAAATGTGTAATACTAACATATCAAGTGATTTTTAACGACTTTTGATTCCCTGCTTACAAGTGCGACAGTGCTAAAAACAGAAGTTCCAAAACTATTACTGTAATCAGTGTGTGTACTTATTCTATGTTGTACAGTCATACCTGTCACAATCCTTATATTGCAATATTTGAATTGTATAACATTAAAGTTTTATTAATAGAGTATGAGGAGAAACTGAGTAGTTTCCGATACTGCTGTGAGTGTGGAGAGTCCTTGCACCACAAGGGAGACACCCCCCCAACCCCATAATGTAATTTTGGAAGAAAACATATAATTTATTTGAAAACATTACCTGATCTAAAGCAATACCATATGTTGAAAATGCTGGATAACAGTAGTAGATTTTGTAACCTTCCATAGCTATTACACTAGACTTTGATACAGTTGGGGGTTTTTTTAAGGCAAGAAAACTAGAGGTAATGTCTATACTTCCAAAAAAACCCAACCCCAAAAACTTCCTAATTCAGTACGTTATTAAAAAATGCTTTAAAAAAAATATCCCAAAACGTCATCAGAAGTGGCACCCACAACTATATAAGATTATCTGTTGGAGAGCACTTATATAAATCATCAGCTTAAAACCAGCATTAGTAAACCTAGGCTTTATTTCCAGACAGTGTTACAACTTGACATTTAAGGTGAAAACAAATGCTATGGTTAGCAGGATTACAAATTTTAAAATTCATTTAAAATCTCTCCATTCTGTTCAAAGCCTTCTAAGTCTTTGAACTGCAGCAGCACGAATGCTGCTTTGAGTGCAGTGGTGCCCCAAAGTCAGTCACCCTTTTCTACATGTGCTAATAAGTTTGATTTTGGAAGGACAATGTGTACATTCCCCAGACAGGCAGAGTGTGTGTGAAACACGCTAGTCCATGCTGTGCTACTCAGTGAGCTTCAGCAGGGACAGGACAAGCTGAAAATGGCTCTCATCTGTCTTGTGGTCTTCCAGATAGCTGTTTAACTCTTTCATGTCTAAGCACCAATATCATTGGGGGAAAATGAATGAAGAAAATTACCGAAATTCTCTTACATTTACTTTATATCTGATTAAAATGCTCTCAAGTGGTTCAGTACTTTTCCATATTACTGTCAAGTAAGAATAAATAATCTTAAAGCTCCCAGAACAAATACTATACTACAGTTCCATCCTATACTCCTCCCAAATATTCTGTATTACCAAAACATTAATTTTTTGGATTTACATGACATTGTCTCTTACCTTAAAAAGAATGTTAAAAATGCAAGCTAAAGACCGAAAAAGAAAAGAAAAAAAAAAAGAGAGAGAAAATCAACTGCAGGGTTTGTATGCATGCAGAAATTCTAAATAAATGCAAAGATACTAATTTTTGTACTCCAGGTGTTCATTAAAAAGTACTTTTGTTTGAAAACTGCGGAGTGTTAAAAAAATTCTGAATGTCCCCTAAGGAGTTAAAACAGGAATACTATATTTTCATGCATCTCCTGCTTTGACAGATGAAAAATGTCAACTGTCCTGTTTTTATTTTCAAGCTTTTGCACTATTCATCTGGTTCATTAGTGCATCTCGCTGCTGCCCCTGACAGCTGCTCGCCCTCTCCTCCCAGCAGCTGAATTTTTCAGGCTAATTTGATCCTCCACACTGAGACGATCGCTAGAATGATTGACTTGCTCCCTGACCTCCAGGGTCTGACTTTCCTGATTAGTATTCTGGGGGTGTCTGAGGGACGAAAGCCCACTGTCTGTCTTCGGGGCTGGTGGCAGCTCGCTCTCTCTCTTTTTTTTTCCCTTTTTTTTTTTTTTTTTTTGAACTGTAAGCCACCAACCTACAACCCTGTAAGGATGCAATTGCTACGCTGAACAATAAAAGGAAATGTGTAAGACCTACTTTTCCATGTAAAGGTCCATGTAGCAAAAGCACAGCATCTTGATTTTAATTAGTAAAGTCTACTTTGTTGCATATCAATTAAAACTCCAGTGGTAGTGTTTTTGAGGTTTCAGAAATACCTGGGGCTCTAAAAAAATCAGACTTTAAAATAGACTTTTAAAAATCTTACTGGCCACATAGTTAGCATTGAATAATAGACTGTAATATAGGTTAGAAATAATAATTTTTAAAAACAACATACATTAGAGCAAATTAGTCTAAACTTAAATTAAAACATAACTGAAAAGAGTTTAGCAGCAATTAAGCATTTACTGAGAAGTGATAAACATGCCACGGCTTTTCTCCAATTAAGCTGGAGAGAATCCAGAGCACATATGAACACATACCAACATGAAGTCAATATAATAAAACATGCTAAACTGCAAGCAATAGACATATCACAAAAAGATGCCCAGCAGAAAACTGCACGGATAATAAAAATACCATGCATTAGTACACACATGTCTTAAAGAACCTTAAATAACCACTTTCAAATAATTAAAAAAAAAGAGAAAAATGCTAAGCACGTATTTTGAGTTTACTATATCTAAAATTTCAAAATTACATCTCAATGATCAACAACAACAAAAAATAAACCAACAACAAAAAAAAACCCACCAAAACCCACCCACCACAAACATCTGGTATGTTGCAGAATTAACTAAATGGGATAAATGTACCTTTAAGAAAAATTTAAAAGCTATAGTTGAAGACACTGCCATATACTGTAGCTATATAATATATATCAACAGTAAGTATCTTAATAATTACTTTATTCTTCCAATAAGGAAAAAAAACCCAAACACAACACCATATCAACTTAATACTATCCTGGTAAAAGTTCTAAAATAAATAAAAGGAGAATGGTATTTAAAGATGCTGAGTTAATCAACGGAATTAAGATATTTAGCTATTTTGAAATTACTTACCAGATCAAAGAAAAGTTTAATATTCCCATAGATGTTTAACATACTATACCAGCATCAAACCAGCAAGCTCAAAAAAACCCCCAAGCCTTCTTTAGAAAAGTCCTATTGATTTCTATCCAGTAATTTTATTCATGTAACACAGAAGAAAAATTAACCTTAAAATATGTTTATTTTATATAATAATTAGTTATTCAAGGGTTTTATTTTTTTGTTTCCAGATTTAAAAAATTCCCAAGAAAACCAATGAGGAGTAGTAATACTAAAAAATCCTTATCTACCTTTATGCTATCTTCAGGCTCCTGCTTGTGCAAGTGTGTAAAGTACAGCACTGAAATTAATGGCACTTGCCATGGTCAGTACTAAGGAATCCCAATATGGGATTAGGTTTCAGTTCAGGATTTAAACTTCTAAATACTTGATATCAAGTATCAGACTTCATTCCTGTGAATTGTCCCCAAGATTTAGAAGCAACAGCTATACATAGATCTGTAAGCTCTGCAGAATTGCAAAGTACCTATTTGCCCTTTTAATATTTGAAGCAACATGTTAGTGATAGAATGTAAACTACCATTACTGGAGACAATTCACCTAGTAGTAACACACAACTTTAACAGGCAGACAATGTTTTCTACAAAATCCTAAAATAACAGGAGGTGCCGATCCTACTGAGTATGTGTTAAATGAGTTCTGCTGACTCACTGAGGCAGGTGGCTTGTAGATAAACGAAGAGTGAGTTGGGTATATTTTTATCTGGAACATGACTAGAAAGACTTCACTGCCATTGCTGATGGAACGAAATTTTTTTCCAGCATCCTTCAACACAAGTGTTTAGTCTTTTGATCAAGAAATGATATGCAAAGAACCTTGAAGATATAGTTGCCTTAGAAGCCTACCTGTTCTTCACACCTTCATTTGCCTCCATTTCAATTTGCCCTATATCTTTATTTTCTCAGAATACAGTATCGTTTAAAATTATGCATCACCTACCCATCTTGACTATATGAATACAGAAGTTAACCAATAACTACAGTTTAACCAATTGGAGGAGAAGAAAGGGTAGAAAAATTACATGTCTGTGCAACAGAAGTCACTATCTTCAAAGTTAATCCAAGCTAGACTAGTAGGAATAAGGACACAGTAACCCTTTTTTTTTATTATTTTTTTACTTCTGATAACTATATTGCAGTTTTTGAAAGCATTAGTTGCATACTCAAGTCAGTCCTACTATTTCTCAATGCATTTATTACCAAAATCATATAATCAGCATAGGCCATTAAAATACCTAGAACAATTTTACATATACTTGCCATTATTCATTTATTAATCCTTCAGTTATGGCCAATCTTCAACAAATTGCTGTAAAATCTTTGTAGCAAGCCCAGTAAAAGGCAACTCTTGAGCAACACACAGAGAGTATTTCACATGCTGAAGTTAAGAGTTCTTATTGCTAATATTAAAAACAGGCATAATAGCTGAAAAGTAGCTTTTCCACAATGCTACACACAAACAACAAAAATATAGAAATAGATCCTAAAACAGAACTTAATACATTTGGAAGGGTGGGGGGGGGCACGGGTGGACCACAACAGTATTATTAAGTTCACTGTATATATCAATATTACCTCATACAGAAGACAGCCTAGAGACCAGATGTCAGATTTGAAGTTGTAACCATTTTCATGTATTCTCTCTGGAGACATATAATAAGGTGTACCAACTGCAATAAATACACAAGTATTTTTGAATGAAAATTTCTGTTGTTATATAGTTGTAAAAGTACATTTTTCTGGCTGAAAAACATTTTGCATCTTCTATATTTCTCATTTTGCTACACATATAGTTTCAATTCATACTTATGACTCTTCAGTTTGCTAGAAATATACATTAATTAGATATCTATTTCATCCAATGCAGCTTTATTTTCACTACTGATATCTAATTACCAGAATTATTCAGTTGTAGAATACTTCTGACTTTTGCTTTTAAAGAAGCTTGAAAGCAATTACTTTCTTCTGCAGACAACCAAGGGAACATACTACATGCACACACACACATCCCCGCTCCTTTCCAAACTGTTACCACTGTGGCTGGAAATAACAACAGCTAGAAAGTCTCTTCCATTGCTTGAATTCTTTTTTTTTTTAAATGAGTTGTCTGTTCTTCCTTTTGAGACTATCCTAATCTGAAAAATATGCTTTTGAAACTAATAAACACAATTTAGTTTGACTATCTGAAACTAAAATTGAGCCTGAAATCCAGTATCTTCAGCTTCCCAAAGAGGAAGGCAGGAAAACCTGTGAGCCCAGAAGAAGCCGAGGCTCCTATGAGCGACTCGGCCATCTGCTGCAGGACTAGACTCTGCAAGGACTTTTCAGCTCCCTAATCTGTGGCTGTCCTAGCTTAATCCTGCCTCAGAGCTGTGGGCTCTGGAGACGTCTGCTCTTGAAAAGCAGCATTTACTAGGACTGTCCCAGAGCAAATTTACATTGGATACCCAAAGACATCTCTCCCCTTTATTTTAATTAGACCCTACCCATCTGTGTCACAAGTTACTTGGAAGACAGAAATTCTGAGAATTTTCAGCTCTGTAAAAAAAGCCATTAAAAAAAATAGTATCTAAGTGATGGGTTCATATGTGACAGATCAACAAAAAGAGAAGTTATGAAAAATAACAGTAGTGGCAATTTTGGTGCACTGTCTCTGAACTTTTTCCTTATATCCTCCCAAAATGACTGCCTAACGTCAAAGAGTCACATATCTATGTAGATTTTTACTTCAAATTTGTGTGAAATATTTTCTTAAACACTGAATCCTGATGATGAAAACCAACTGAATTCTGTCAATTCAATACAGGTTGACCTTATTTTGAGACTAAACATCTTGCAACACAGCCAGAGATTAAAATCAGCATTCTCACTGCAAACTACGAAAACTAAGAGTATGAACCTCACACTATTTTACTTAACACAAAAATCTAATATCACTCCCACACTTCTGAACTAGCCTCATCTATTCAGAATTCATTTCTGTATGATATGGGAAATGGAGGTATAGGGAATAGGTAAGTAATTCCAAATCTGAATAATCAGGTTAATAATAGTTTTAATTAATCAGATTAATAATTTTACTCTAATCATTTCCAAAAGTTAAGGGGTTTGCTTTGACAATGTGCCCTATCTTTTAGAAAGGCTGACATCTCAAACTATGTCACACTTTCTTAGGGACAAAGGTGCAGAGGGTTGGGGCAGTACTTTCCTACTTGAAAGGCCCAGCTGGGATTGGGAAACCCAGTACCACCTTATCCCACGTCAGGCCACTGCTGCTGGTAACCCATAATTTCAATTCATCTTCTTGGCAAACAATATTGAAAACAAAATTCCAAATGAATATAAACTGAGAACGTGCTTCTCCAATGGATATGGCAAGAGCAGAGGTCCCATATTGCATCCTACAATGCATTTGGCCCCCTAAATATTTTGGGAGAGACTTCCAGCCCTGGGAGAGAGAGGGTGCCGCAGCCCCTTTCCCCAGAGGCTCCCTTAGCGCTGGCCTGAGGAATCACTGCAGCTCTGAACTGAGGTCAAAAGCTTAAAAGGAGAAAGGCTGGGGAAAGGCAACTCAAAATGATGGAGTATTGTGAAAACCATTTACTCTCATGGGATGTTTGTATTAACCAACCACAGAGTAATGGTCAAGAAGGTCTTTTCCCTCTGAAAGAATAGGCACCCAGATGGGTGGAGTGTAACACCAAAATAGCATCAGAAGACCCAGAAGCAACTCTGTTACTCTAATGTATCAACAGTGGTAGTTTAATGGGTGTTTAATGACAGCTATCTTAAAATTGGAGACTGTAATTAAACAACATTTGGCATCACACAGCTTTCATATTTTTATTATTCTTACTGTTGTACTTCGCTCTTGAATTTTTTTTTTTTATTTTTTTTTTTACCCCAAGGACTTGTGAGCTTGGACACCTCTGAAAACTTTCAGCTGCATTTTGCATCCATTGATTAATGCACTGGTTTAGTGTATTCTGATGCTTTGTTGGCAGAATTCATCTAACAAAAAACAAGTTTAATAGTAATCTGGTTCTTAGCTGGTTACAGCAGCACTGCCTTTGCTACTCTGAGACATCACGTAAATAGCTGGTAGTGAGTAACGTGCCAGAAAGAGGCTTCACAGAATCCACAGGGGGCAGCTGAAAATAGAGGTTTGAAGGTTCAGAGTTTACCAAAAGCAAAGGTAATTTTAACCAGTAGCTCTGGGAAGCCTGCTGATACGTTAGGGGTCCAATATGACTGTGAAAGATTGATGATAGTGAAAAGGAGAAAAAATGCTATCATTTTACAGCATTTAGCCTAGTGTAACACCTTAACTGCAATACAACCTGAAGACCCCAATGACCAACAAGTGAAAGGAATTGAAATTACAGTTATGTTAGTCATTGAATCGCAAAAACAACTTGAAGATCTAGACATCATTACTACTTGTAAACTGTTTTTAACAGAACATGACAGAAAAGATTCATTATTCTGACATTCAGGAACTACTGAAGGCATTGCAACAATTCTTTAAAACAGTGAGCAACCTTGGTACATAGCTGTACTGCTGGCAAGCAACTACTAGATGTGATTATATGTTACATTTCCTTCCTGGATCATTATTTTTATTTCTGTTAAGTGAAATACAGCATCACAATACTATAAAGACATGTGATTTTCTTTACTCATCTGGAGACACAGAAGTGGGATAATACAAGACAAAGACGTAACATATTAAGGTGCCTCTGTTTTTAAGAACAAAATCTGTAACTTTAGCATTCTGTTCACTGCATTTGCACATCTTGGATAACCTGCAAGTCTGAACAGTAATATCCTTGAAAATGGCCTGGGTCAAGTAAACTGCTTCCTCAGAATCTGCTCCTGCTCTGGAACTCCCTCCCTTTAAAGATGCCGCAGATCCAGAAAGTGTTGTTTTTTTATACAAGCTTTCTACTATTGGGAGAGGCAACAGACATAATGGAAATGGTGGCTATTAGGGGCAGAAAGCTGGATCTGAAGGATCAGAGGAAAAGAAACTATTATGAAAAAGGGAGTTATGACATAAACAGTCCGTCTCATTACCTGCATAAACACATAACTCACACTGCAGCTGAGTTAGAGGAGAATGTGTTCACTTAAAAACCAACAATGCATCAAGGAGCTGAATGAAATACAGTAACTAGCTCTAAGTACTATCAAGCATTTTTAAGCTGGGAGAAAAATCTGCCTGGTAAATATTAATACTACTTATACAAAACAATGTAATGCCTAATTCAGGTATTTAAAAGACTAGTTTTCAAAAAGGCCATATAATTATTATTGAAATTCCATGCATTGGAATACATAACTACCAGAGTTCAGGAAGTGGGCTAAAATCACTTCATTAATTCTTCTGATTTTTGAAGAATTCCAAAACAAGACTTCAGTTTAAAAAAAGGCCCAATTTATTTAAGTAATCAAAAAATATGGTTTATGAATGACTTCATGAGATCACAAGAATTTTATAATACAGAGTTCAATACAACATGCAAGTGCATAACAAGATGAATGGTTGATGCTGAAGACAGACAAAGCTACAAATAAGCTGCAGTTATGGACCAGCGAGGGTAACCAACCACTGACACAAAAAATTCTCCATAACTATAATTTGTTTTTTACTTATTTATTTTAATATAGGTGTAGGAGATTTCTAAGTCATAGGCTCATCTTCAACTACAGATATGGGACCTAAAATACTGCACTTATCCAAAGTAATTCTGCAACCTAGCCTACGTTATGCAAATAGTCTAACTGCAGAAATCAATCTATAGATATCTTGGGTTATTTTATAATGTAGCATTGTAACATCACAATAATTTACCTTCAGCTTTCAAACTACTGTAAAAGATCTCAGGGTTTTGTACATACAATAAGAGTTGTTTTAATACAGCTTCTTTGATGACTGTAATGAATCAGCTGCAGATTTTTCTGCTAGCCTTCCTGTACACTGAGGGTGTGGGTTCTCAGAACAGTTTGGTTAAGAGTATGAAAGTGGAGCTTATTCTATTCACAGCAAAATGGTGCTGCATACCACCACCTCAGCACTTGCTTTGACACCCTCTGCTGGGTTACAGACCATATGTAAGAGGAAAGGAGAGTATCTGCACACATTTTTACAAGGTATTTTATTCCCCACAACCTGCATGAGTTTACAGTCAAATCCCTCATAACATAGCTTTGTGCTGGGGACAGGAGTACCATGGAAATGACAGAAGCTGTCAAACCACAGAAGAAACACCAGAATTCAACACATATGATCCTTTGCTTTCAAGCATTCTAAGACTGCAGATCTGCTCTTTTGCCCTCCAAGAAGGTATTCACATCATGTTCTGCCTGGACAGCATGCTGTGCAGACCTCTAGCAAAACCACACTGGAGAACTGGTTTTGTTGGGTTTGGGGTTTGGTTTTTTTTGGTAATTGAAATACTAATATATGGACTATCCTTAAATCCACTGAATTGCTAAAGATAAAAAAATGCACATTTCCATGAGCTGCCCTTAGAATTGCTGTTTCATCAAAGAGCATAAGGCCTGGCATTCAGCCATTAAAAACAACAAAAAAAACCCTAACACACACAGTCATAGGGAAAGGAGTAAGAAGCCTTTCTTGGATCATCGTCCCCTTTCTAATGTAAAGTCTTCTGAAACAAAGAAATTTTGTCAAGTTTGTATTGAATCAACAGTACGAAATGCCTCCATTTCCTTTGCATTTTTGGAAGAAAGATTTTCTATTTTCAAAAAGGTATATACATGCCACAGTAGAAAATTCTACTGTTTTGATAAGTCTGTATAGAAAGAGTTAAGAACATTAAGAAATCCTGTCCAGTGCAGTATTTATTTGTTTCAAACGGACCATCAGCAAGTACTCTAATTAAATCAGTATTATCCATAATTACCAGTTAGAAGCTGCAGCTAATGAAAATTTTAATACATTTCTTTATTTCTGAAAGCCTGAATCTAGTTTGCTACTGAAATTTTTATAAAGCCTCTAAACAAGTATAAATTGTGACACATAATATGTTTGTAATTCACTGGGGTTTGTGCACCAAAGGTTTATAGAATCATAAAAAGATACAACTTTGAAAGAAATTTCAGGAAAACCAGCAACAGAAACTGCATGAGAAATTAATTTTAAAAAGTGGTCTCTGCTAGTGACATGATAAATCAGTGTGTCACTGTCTCCACTGTAGCCTAAGTTAACAGCTGAACAAAACCTTTCTCCTAGGCTGAATTCTGACATTAGGTCATAATTAAGAAGGAAATGGGAAAAGAGGAGATGGGGAAAAAAGAAAAAAAAAAACCAACAGCTCCTCTACCAAGACACAGCACCCAACATTAGAAACAAAGCTTCCATCCCCCTACCCCCACCGCTCTCTGGATGACTCCTGCATTTGTAAGAGATGAGCTTTAAAGGGCTTGGGGGTTTTACACTGGTTTTAACTCTAGCTCAGTCTTCAGTCCCTTTGCAACCATTCCCCTGCAATGAGCCAAAATAACACAGGGCTGAAGTAGTTTGTTCATCTTTAACTACCTGACTTCTGTCTCAGAACAAAAGTCTAGCTCTCCCACCCTCAAAACTGACTTCTGCCTTCTTCGTGTGCTCCTACCCACAGATTAGGATCTACAGCTTCCTGCAAATACAGCCCAGGAGCAGCTCCCTCTTTACACTGCTCGTTTACATCCTTCTTCCATTTGCAGGCAGTAGCAGGACCCAACTATGACAAATAATATTTCCACAGTGCTGCCAGAGATGGCCACTGGGCTATGATGGCAGCACGAATATCAGCACTTTATATAACACACTGTGCCATGAACTACTATCAGAACTTTAGGGTTATGTCTGAACTTCGATGTGGAACCCAAGCACATTTCCAGTCTGGTCTCACTGCTTCTCCTCTGTCTCTTCCTCTCTCTTTTTTATTAATGCAAGATTGCACACCTGCGCCTGAGTTTCACCTCAGACCTACTAAGATATCAGCAGTTAACGCATGGTTTTGACTACACCAGTATCAGTATGCACCAAACGTGATAAAAATAGGAAAGCACAAAAGAGTGACTGGAGGCTTTCTGGAAGACAGGGAAGTAAGGATCGTATAAAAAAATTCCTTTCTAAAATAGTTTTCTTGGGCTGTTAACACTAGTATTGCCCACACCTCAAATGTGGTACAAACATGCTGGACATCAATCCTCTCCTTTTTTCCACACTGTACTGATAACTGGGACTATCTAAATAAAGCTATATCACGAGTTGGGGATAAATATGGCATATTTTAATCCAAGAAATCTGATATTTCATAGTCTAATTAGAAACATCAGCATCTGAGCAAACACAATTCTTTGTGTGTCCTCTCATGGCCCTAAGACAGGGATTGTAAGTATTACTTAACCATTCTTGGCTTTCTTTATTTTCCTTACCATGCACTCTTGTTAAATAAAAAAAAATATCCAAATGCCTAATTACAGAATTGTCACTGTCATTTGTTAAAAATTCACACTATGCAGCATTTGAATTGATTTTACCTTTCTGTATTCAAGGTGCTCTGCCTGCCTCAATACCCTTTACAAGGAACAGGAGACAATTCTGGATGCTGCCATCTATTGCCTTGCTCTTGAGGGGTCTAAAAGTTCATTTCACACCCTTTGCAGTCAGTGAACACAGTTGAATTCAGCAACCACTAAACATAGCCACTTCAGCAGGGGAAAAGAATTTTTTTCTTAGCTAAAAAAAAAAATCTACATCACCATACTATAAACACCGATTCTTACATTTCTCTTTAAAGCAGATGCTACTCTATTTACAAGGCTTTTCTTTTTTACAGAGATCCTCTTAGAGTCTGTCATTTGTCCATTTGCTACATTTAACCTTAAAATATCTGCCAAATTTTTACTTTTTCTTCTCTAAAGGCTTCTTAATCATTCTAGTCTCCACATGTCACTCAAAAGATGCAAATTATATGAAAATTTTGTTTGGAAAAAGTTAACAATGTTATTTTTTATGTGCTAGTAAAGAATAACTGGGGCATTTCAGAAATTTTTTTTCTATTCTTATAAAAATAAGTTTTCTGGGATTTGTTTGTTTGTTTGTTTTGCTTTTGTTTTGTTTTTAAAGTCTTTATGGTTCATAAAGCCTAATTCTGATCTCTCCTTGACTTAAATTATATTGAGAAACTCCACCTTGAAACAGGCAAGCTCCTCTGTTAGCCCTTTCAAAGCATATGACCAACATGTCATCAGTGCTACCCATACAGGCACACAGAATTACTAGATTCTTTTCAACACTGATTAAAGTTCAAATGAATTTTAAAAAAATGCATCTGTATTATTGGTCTTATTTTTTCCTAGCATTTGAACAACAAGCTGTACTGCTGAAAAGTGACACCTCAGTGTTAAGCTTTTCTCTATTTGTCCATGGTGCTGACCATTATTTTTTTATTATTTAAGAAAAGCTTTAGCTCGACCTAGCTGTTTTCTTCCTCCTCATGAGTGGGCACAGTATTTCCACCATGTTAAAAAAATCCACCTCCCCAACACCTGTACCTCAGAGAAAGCTTACCTAAAGAATGTGCAGCTGTGGTTTTGGAGCTGAAAAATCGACCAAGTCCAAGGTCTCCAAGCTTTACTACCCCTGTAGCTGTAATGAACACATTAGCTGGCTTTATATCTGAAAAACAAAAATTTTAAAAATTTAAAAGTCACAATGAGGTTGCAAGAAAAGCTACTGCTCTATTAATAATAGAACAAAAGAGGCTTTTATTTACACTAATATTAACAAAATTTGACTGTGCTGTGCAGAAAGAGTGGGTCTGGGATTTGGAATTTCAAATTAACTATTTTAATAGTACAAACATCACTCAAGCAAAAAATTAAGACCCATGGAAAGTATCTTAAAAAAACCAAGCAAACAAACACTAACAAGAAAAACCAAAGCAAAAAAGCCCCACACCCAAAGCAGCATATACAGGGACTTTATTACTACTTTATATAAGCTATACACAAGGACTTCAATTAGAACTAGAAAACCTCTCATTATGTCTTAAGTAACAGACCAAAAATGTTTTTAAGAACTGTAAAACATATTTTTCATCACTTTTGCTGATCAGATTACCCACAGTGGCATGATCTTATTTATTTGAAATAGGTAACTGATTCTCTTTAATAGCAGGCGTTAAAAAAAAAGGAGCAAGTTTTACTCAGGAGAATGGTTATTTGAACTCGTCAATGGAATTGGGCTAATCAAGCAGAAACAAAGAAAAATAATGATGTATACCCCAGACAGTTATTTTTCACAAGTAATATTCAGTTTAAGTTTTAATCCAATCCTTCAGAGACAACAGCAAAGATTTTCATTGTATGATTTTTAACAAGGTACCTAACCTGTTAGTCTTCTAAATAAACCAACATGGTATTTGTTTGGCAAGTGTGCTTAGCTCTTACTCAGTTCAAGAGCAACGCACTGTCGCTCTAAATTTAAAGAAAATCACTTAACTTTCATAAGAGGGGATTACAGTTTGCATAAGATACGGTACAGTAAAAGGAATGGTTAATAACCCTTCTACCAGCATTTTCAGGTTTCCAATAAAAAGTTACAAAACCTTACAAGCTTTAGAGAGGAAGACAGAAGCAATTATGTTATGCTTCTATCTGACCTAGTTTTCAGGAGTTTGGATCACCCTTTGTGTAACAATCCAACTTGGACATCATCTCAACTTAAAATAGCTTTAATTGTCACTGATTTTGGTGTGTAACCATGGAACTGTTAGATTTGCCATAGGTTTGCCAGTAGATTTGAAAGTAGAATTTTAGTTTAAGGAATTTAAACTCAATTTGGTTTTGAGCTAAAATATACTGAAATAAACTAGTTTAGTCATAAAAGCATTAAAGGAAGATACCTATACCCTATGGAAAGAATCTGTAATTTTACATCCTTCTCTTTGTATAATTTGCACTTGCGGGTATCTGTACAAATGCGTAAAGGAAAAAAAAGGAGAATCACAAGGGAAAGCCATTTGCAGAGGCAGAGGCAAGTTGAGCTGCTGAAGGGTGCAACATCTCTAGCTGCAAATGACAAAGCTCAGCAGAGATCGCGGGACTTTTGCTTTCAGGCAGCTATTTGCATCCCAGCAGAAGGAAGCCACCAACCCAAGACATGTAATTTCACCTGAACCCAGAGAGACAGTTGCATATACAACTTGCAACTTGTAGCCAGAGGGATTTCCAAGGCAAAAAAAATTGTACATCTGAGAAGCAGCTATACTACGATCTGTTTTCTTTGACTCAGCGTTACAAGGTAAAATGAAGACAACATATGGAAGAGACAGCAGTGCAGAGGTTTAAAATGGGTAAAAGAGATTTAGTACCTGACAGGGATAGATGGCAAGTACAAGGGCTGTTGGGACACAGTACTGGACACAGAGATTGGAAATAGTGGAGAAGAGAAGGGGAGAAAATGCTCACTGCTGCACCTAATCCAGTAGGTAAGGGAGTGGGAGAAGGGCCTATACATCACTAGAAGGCGTGGCAGGAGGCAAATACTCTTGTAAGGGAAAAAAGGTGCAAGAGGCGAAAAGAATGGATAGATAGCTGTGCAAGAATGCAGGTAACAATACTTGGGAGAGACAATGGGCAAATATAGAAGAACAAGAACAGGACAGAAAATAAGAGCCAGCAAAATGAGCAAGCAAAGAGGTAGCAGCGGCAGGGTCTCCATCACTTACAGAGCTATCACTTATTTTGAAAACTTGGTATCACAAGCCATTGCTGCGAACAAATGCCTACCACAACGAATGTACAACCACAAACTTCTGTCACACTTTTCCATTACTTATAAAACATGACAGAAACATACATTGTGTCAGCTGTCAAAATTGATTCCCTTATGACGTTATTTGGTGTCATTTGCATTGAACCAGCTTAATTCTCACACAGTAAAAGGTTTAAGTAAAGACAAATCATCATAGATGCTATATTACCTCTATGCATAACACGACGAGAATGCATGTGTTCCAAGGCACTGCAAAGCTGAACGAAGTACTTCCAAACTGTTCTTTCAGGAATCAACCTCTTCTGTTTCTTAAAATGCTTAAAGAAAAAAGGATGGACACTGAATATTAAAACTTAAAACTTGCATAAAATGACTGAAAAAGTCAGAAAATCCTTTATTTAAAAACCAAATACAAGAGGCTCACAACCTAATGAGAATGGTTTAAACAAAATTTCTTGACACAGAAAGCTTTTCCCTTAAATACTAATACATGTATCATCAATGTATGTGCTTAGGTCAGTCAACACATAGAGCCACAGACATTAACGAAATATAACTGCTATCCCAAAACAGTATTTATATGGTATTTAGCAATACTCAGTGCACGATTAATGTGGTCAGAATAGTCTAGCATAGACTAGGTGGCCACAGAACAAATAAAGGTCAGATATAAAGGTATGTGCCATGGAACTTCCCAAACTGAATAATTTCTTACACCAACATTGATTTCTATATCCTCATTTTCTAAATAGCAGAAAAAAAATAGTAGTGACACACAATCACAAACAAAGATCATGTAAGAAGAGTCGATCAGATTAGTCTTAGAAACTTCTGCAATACATCAGAGGGGACAAAAGGAACTGTGATTTCTGAAAATTTCATAGAGATCTAACTCCCATTCAAATATTTTCCATTCTGTATAAACAACCATTACCGATCACTGGTAACAGTTCAATGGCCTGTTAAAGCTTACATGAAACGTAATTATGCTCTGCTACACACATCTCCTTCAAATATTATATTCAGGGACTGGAATAACACAGGCCTCCAAAAATACATACCAAAAACCTGGAAATCCAGCCAATGCTAAAACGTGCAAGTTTGATCATTATAAATTTTGCAGTTAAAGGTAAGACTGAAAAATTGTTGCTCATTTAGTCTCTCTTTTAAAAGAATTCGTATTTTGACAGATTTTAAACACACGAAGAAAATACATGAACAACATTAATACTAGCAAAATTGTAGATGGAAAGCAAAGTATTTAGATGTATTTTAATATCCTGTGTACACACACACTTCACACTCATGTACACCCTAAGAAAGTTCATATAACAAACATTTATTACTCTGGAAAAATAAAAAAAATATTTTCATATACTATGTTAAAATGTGCCACTGAGAAGTTGACAGCTGCATCTACACATGACAGAGACATGCAGGAGCATGAGAAAGATGTTTTTAAACTAGCTACAGCAAAATGCATCAGTCATACAAAGGATCATAACATTTCACAAAAATGTTTTTAGTTATAGGGATTATTTCAAAATGCATTTTCATTTAAATGAGGCAAAGCATATAAATTACTTCTTTAAATATAATTTTCTCTCAGTCTTGGACTGAATCCAAACAAACCTTGTGTATCTGTTCTCCCCATAGCTGGATTTGCATATCAGAGGATTGTTTGATGTCAATAGGAAGATAGAGACCAGGTTTCTTTTCATTTAAAAACAAATACACAATACATGTAAGTATGTGCACATGAAAGCATAGTTCGTCGATTTAAAATGCATTCTGAAATTATCATAACTAGGTACTTTATTTAAACATTCTGAATTATTATTATTATTATTTTAACTCAAATCTAAGCACAAGCAGTGATGAAACACCATTCACAAAATGTCTGAAATGGGAAGATTTTCCATTGCAGATTTCCATTCCTATGTACTTAAAGTACATCAGTGTACTTTCAAAGTATTTATGTACAAGTATTCTTTTAACACTTTATTCATTTGCCACCTATAACACTGTAGCGATTGTACAGACAAAATCGGCTTCAGTTCTTACAGTGCAAGCATGCAATATAATAGCAGTTTTTAAGACATAGTCTCATTCTACTGAAGGCGTTAATAATTTTGCATGATAATACCAACTACTCTTCCTGAAAGCATCAATAGTATTACTATCCCTGCAGAATTTATCTGTCTAAAGAGGATGCAAAAGAGAGATGCCACATTTGTTAACAATGTTTAAACTAAACAAAGAAATAGGCACCATTTGCGCTTGTATAGATTTAAAAATAATCCAATTATCTTTATAATAAACTCACTGAACATTATTTTGTGTAGTAATTAATTACACTATCTTCTTCCACCAAAATACATATTCTCAATGTTTTCTTGGGCTGTTGTCCAGCAATAGCCAAAATAGTGATGGAATGCCTCCACTACGAAGAAAAACTGATTTTGCAAAACTAGCTATTGAAACAAGTTGTATGTTTCTAGGAAATAGTCCAGCAGGCAGTGTTAATTCTGAGAAAAGTCACTAAGGAAAAGGAATCCCATTCCTGTTTAGAACCCTACCTTCTAACAAGAAATGTACGTTGATGGAACATGGTCAAGCCTATTTTACGCCAAACAGCATAATTAAATTCATATAGCACATATTAACTGTATTCAAAGCAGGATCCTTTTCTCTCTCTCCTCCATTTTAAAATAGTCCACAATGCAAAATGCAGTTCCAATGGTTGTGGGGTTTTCCCCCTCCCTATAGAGAAGCCAAAATGTAGAAGACTTGATGCCAAAACAATAATTTTTAACCTTTATTGTAGCAGAGCATAGTAGCACCGTAAACAGTGAATACTGAAACTAATTCACTGCCTAGTGCTGTTAATGTCTCAAGCATCCTGTCTACATAATCAAGCTAACTTAATAGAGTTATCTCCCATTGTATACAAGTTGCTATTATCTGCCCAAATTTGACCTCAAAGGAATATAGCCCAACATACAGATTTCTAAAGTACTCCCATCTTCAACATTTTACTATTCTGCTTCTTCCACCTGTCTGAGGCTCAAAGGACAGTCCTGATGTCCCTCAGACCACTGACCTTCTGGAGTGTGATAAAAAAAACATAATCCTATTTGAGGTGAAAGATCAGTCTCAACATAGTTGAAACTGGGTAAAAAGGGAACTACTTGTACATGTGCATTAAAAATTTGGGAAGTGGTGTTTTATCAGGGAAGCTGAGAATACCAGGCATGCTCAGGCAGCAGACTGTCTCCCAGCAAGAATTATTTGTTTCAAAAACCATATCTCATGAAATATCCATCTCTGACTTTGAGAATGGAATCACAAAAAACTACTTTGAAGAGTTTTCACAATGTCAGTACAGAAAAAACTGCAATTCAGTCATTTAATGCAACTGGAAATTTTTGTGGTCATAAATTTGCTATTCAAATGCCTTAAAGAGCTTTAAGGTAGGCAGGTTATAGCACCAGTTCATCTTTTCATCCCTTTTTACAGAATGACTGAGCAGTTTTGTCATGGGAAAATGGAACTCTCCTGGTTTTCTCTAATGAATTGGTAAAAGAAAAATTAAATACTCTCCAAATGTTTCCATCCCAGTAAAATTAAATATAGCTGCCCTGCCCCTAAACAGCATATGCCATTCAGTTTCTTGGAGGCACAAAAAAAAAAAAAATAAGATAGACGGGGAAAAAAGTTTAAAGTCAATATAAAAGCATGGAATTGTATTATCCTGAGTTTCTCAAGATGATGCTTTAAAGGTCAAATTCCAAAAGCAAGAGTGACAGCCATTAGCAAATAGTCTTATCTAGGCTTAACAACCACAGTTCAGAGAATACTCTTAAAGGAAATATGCAGGACTATGTTTGGCTTTTATAAGAAAACCAAGGATTTCCTGCAGATGAGTAAAGAACAGTGAGCATAGATAATTTCAATACAATTGGACATTTCAGATATGATTGCCTACGTCTCAGTAACCATGCTTGGAAAAAATTTAGCATTCAGTTCTGACGTTAGTGTCTCAGAAAATTTTAAGGTATGATATAGCCTGGTTTAGACATCACTGAATAAGAAAAAAAATAGGAATAAATAAAAAACAGATTAAAAAAAAGTTTAAGAAGCAAACTGGACTATAGAAAGCAAGAGGTTTATGAACATCTGTTGCAGAAAGATGATAAACTGATCATCTAAACAATTTTGCAGAGTCATTATTTTTTAAAAAAAGTCTGTAAAACTGTCAAAACAAGCCCACAAGAACATATACCTGAATTTTTCACTGTGCATGCTCTAGGCTAGAGTTGCCTTCTGAAAGAGAGGATTTGGGGGAAAAGTAAAATGAGAATGATCATTTCCTTACTTTAAATAGATTCTTTTTCCTTCCTTTCATGTTCCAATTAGGATCTTGATCACATCTGTCTGTTCCCATGACTTCACTTCTGGCTTACAAAAATATAAAGTGGGGTTTTTTATATTTTATTGCATAGACCTATCAGAACACAGTGTTTCAACAACTGGATAAGTTTGTGAAGAAATCTGAACTTCATCAAGAGGAAAGTGATGCAGAAAGGATTATTACAAGGAACTTCAGAGTAACACATAATGAAGTTCTTGGCCACTTCTGCCTGTGTTTCTTTGGGAGTCTTTTTTAATATGGACTAGCAGAAAGAACAGAGAGAGGAAAAAGGAGGTCAGGCAGCTGTAATAGGAAACTATGGAAGCACAAGCAAGAGTTCTCACTCTGTGAATAAAACAGAAACAAACCAGAACTGGCAGGGTCAAAGAGATAGACCAGTGAGGATGGACCTCAACATCTCTACATTTTTGAGTAAAGATCAGAGACGCAAGTATGTAGAAATAAAGTTTCTACATTAAGCCTTACTTTTTATTTAAAAGGCTATGTAGCTCTAGTAGGAAAGTGGTGTCCCAGGAGTTTTGTCTGGCTCTGTTCATTCATGAATTCAGCTGCCCATCTCTTTAGACCATGGTAAGTTTTCTGCCATTTCTCCTTGCCTTCTACGCAGAACAAAAATAGAACTTTCCACCACACCTTGATTCATTCACTCAATTTGATCACGAGGTGATCAAATTTGCCTACATTTCAAGAGTAGCAGCTGGCTCTTAATTGTAAAAATAGAACAAATACAAAAAAACCACCAAACTATTTGGCATCTACCAACTGAACATACAGAAAGTGGCAAGTACTTGGCTAATAAAGTGACTAATAATAATAAATAAGTAAAATATTTACCTGATTCTTTTTCCAACTTTTCTTTACAGTTGTTTACATCTCCAGTTA